ACGCGGGCGGCGGGACCGCGGCCCGCGTCCTCCGTGGCAAGAAAAGCCCCGTTCATATGTAGGGATCCGACGTAAGTCGGATCCACGTAACCCAGGGACTGCCTGTATTAAATTGTATTCGTGCCCTGTGACTGGCTGCTGAATACACATATAGAGAAAGAGACACACACAGCTCAGCCTAAGAATTCAATCTCTTATAAATATTGTATTCCCCAAAGTTAAACACTAATCCTGATGGTAAATGTTTCAAAGCCTTTGGCCCCTTCATTATTTTATTGGAGGGCTTTTTCCCCGCTTAAGGACAGACAGAGTCATTTGCCTGGAAGATGTGCTTTAAGTGTCCTCCCGTGGAGAAGGGAGCACAATAATGAGTTTTTAATGTTGTTTTGCAACAAGCTATTGTGAGAGTGCATCTTCCACCACTAGCATTCATTACAACCAGAACCTCCCGACACACTGGACTGGGTTTCCTGTCCACAAATGAGGCAGATTGGTTAGGAGAGGGCAGGGCAGTTGCTCAGGCAGGTGGCTCGTTCTTTTGTGTGGACCTTACATTGCCATCCTTTCTGTCTGCCTCTCCAGCAGATGATGGTTAAAGATTCCAGGGTGCTCTTCCAAAAGGGAATAACCTAGTGGCCTTTATCTAACATTCTTCTCTCAGTAGCTTCCAGAGTCCAAGGATGCATGTGAGCGCTATTGCCCAGTGCCGTGTTTCATGTGTGCGTGCACGCTGAGTCGCTGCCACGTGGTGAGAGAATGCCATGCATGCTCACCCATGTGAGATGGGAGCTTTTAGAATCATTCTGCCCTGGATACCTTTCACAGAGAAGGGAGGATGGGAAAGGTTTTATCACTGGGCGATGCTGACTATGGCAAGAGGTTACAGAATCAAGGCATTTAAGGCTATAATCTTCCATTAGTAATCTCTTGGAAAGCCTCCCACAAGCTTCTGTGAGAGATCCCCTGGAGGTAGGAGAGCATGAAGTCCTGAATGTATGACTGGACTAACCCCAGGAGTAAACAGACATGGCAGGCAAAGGTTGGGAGGGAAAAGAGGTGAAATGACCACACTGCTTGTCAGAGAGCTATGCTCTATTAGTTACATTGTTAGAAAAAGAGGATCAAATCCTTCTCCTCTTACTCAGGTGAACAGTCCATTGTCTTTTCTAGGACTACTCAGCTGAGTCACACTGGACGAATGTGTCCATCAGTCTATAAATCCCAATGCCAGTGTTTGCTCCAACACAGGGTTCTATGGGAGAGCAGCCAAACCAGGATGAGCCCAGGATTGAAGGTTTATTGTACTTTAAGCCAAAGGGAAAACACAGAGTTTTTTAAAAGCACCAGGTGCATTAGGCTCGATTGCAGGCATTCCCAGCACTGGGACTTTGGGATTGCCAGCTCCGAGTGTTGTTTCAGACTTCTACCAGCATCGGACATTTCTAGCTCTCTCCCAGAGAGGCAGAGAAGTGCTGCTCTACAGACTAGTGTGGCACTTACCTGATAAGAGGTGCATAGGCAATTCTGTGTGTCTTCAGTGCAAAGTCTGTAAGTGAGCACTGCTGAGATGGATTTACTCACTGCTGGGGACCTTGCAGTTTCCACGAGACTGGATTTTGTCGGAAAGATGCATTACTTTGAGATACTCTTCCAGGGAGCCTGCCCATTGGTTAGAGGGGGATGTAATTAGTTACGCTGTGTTTCTTTCTTTATTTCTTTCTTAGGAAAGATCTTGTCCGGGTGGAAGCCACAGTTATCGAAAAAACAGAATCTTGGCCAAAAATTAACATGAAATTTTGGAAAAGGCACAATTACCAAAAGAAAAAAAGTAAGACTACAGCACCGTCACATCCCACTGCCTTCATGGCCCAGAGCCACCGAACGCCCTCGCAACTCACAGCCCAGTGACACGTACTGTCCGTGCAGCTGAGGCGGACACGGGTATGGGACGCAATGCCCACAGGAGTGCCCTGATGGTGCAGGGACGTGGGCTCAGTACCTTGTGCCCTCCCAGCACAGAGCACCAGGACACGGTCCCATTGCACAGTGCCCTTGCAGCTCAGGGCACAGACACGGGCATGGTACGCAATGCCCACAGGAGTGCTCTGCTGACACGCAGCACAGGGTTATGGGCTGCATACACACTGCCCTTCTGGCTCACAGCATGGACACCGGCATGGTCCGAAGTGTCTGAGGAGTGCCCTGATGGCTTACAACACAGCAACATGGGCATGGTACTCAAGTCCTGAGAGTGCTGAGCAAAGTGACCCCATTTCCTTCCTCCACCATCTGACACTCGTTAGCAAAAAGACTGTTTAAAATTCTGTTTTCAGCACAAGGAAGTGTTGCTGTTCTCCTCCCCTGGCCTCTAGTCTTGCATATTTATCCACAGATGCGAGCAAGTCTTACCAGCATCTTGAACTAGGCCTTGATTTACTCTGAAAATGAGGCAGTGCTAGAGTTTCTTCCTGAATTATCAGCAGAAAAAAACAGTGTGGTATAAATACCAGGGAGAAGTAAAACCTGACATGCTGTCACAGAGCTGCTCACACCTTCACACTCTGTCTACATGAGATGGCTTTGCCAGTATATTTGTATCGATGTAATGATACCAGCAAAACTGCACTGTTACTGGTGGAGTTCACTCTAGCCCTTTAAGTGACATACGCTGTGCTGGTAAAAGCACTGTTGTTTCAGTGTAAGAGTCTACATGTGAGACTTTTGTTAGCACTGCAGTCTGGGTCACAGATCATACTTTATCCGACCCTTCATCAGCATAACTGCATCTGCAAAAGCCTTCTAGAGCAGATTTTTAAAGGTATTTTGGCATTGCTGTCCTCAACTGGCTTAGGTCTCATTTATGATGGTTGATGGGATTCAGATATTGAAATCTCATTTTAAAATATTTAGGCTCCTAAATCAGTTAGGCACTATGGCAACTGTGCCTAAATACCTTTAAAATCCAGGCCTTAGTGTATAAGATACTTTAATGTGTGATCTTAATTTTTCTTCTTTCATTCTTTTTCAGTTATCGTGCAGCCACAAACTGTGCTCCGGATAAACACCATAGAAATTGTTCCCTGTTTGTCATGATTGATTGTGGTCTAGTAGAGCTAGGTATATTTTTACTGCTTTAGGGAAATATAGAAATAAAGCAAATAAAATCTTGGGCTTTTTTTTTGTCTGTTATGGAAACCTATTTCTACTTTTTTAACAATGAAACTTTTTTTGTTAAAATACAATTTCAGTTTTAATGATGAAAAGTCTCAGAGGGGTAGCCATATTAGCCTGTAACTTTTAAAAACAACAAGCAGTCCTGTGGCATCTTAGAGACTAATTATAAATATATTAGATCATGAGCTTTCGTGAAGCCTTCACTCCAACTCATCGAATGAAGTGGGTTTTACCCACGAAAGCTCATGGTATAATATTTGTTAGTCTCTAAGAGTATGTCTATTCTGCATCTTTTGAACTAGCCTGTTATTTTGAAATAAACGGGCTCGCTATTCCGACATCCCTGTAAACCTTGTTCCACGAGGATTAAGGAATGTTTTGGAATAGCCATTTATTTCAAAATTTGGCACTGTGTAGTCAGCACCAAATTATGAAATAAGCTATTTTGAAATTAACTCGAAATAAGCTACGCAATTTGCATAGCTCAAATTGCATACCTTATTTCGAGTTTAAGGGTGCAGTGTAGACACACCCTACAGTGCCACAGGACTACTCATTAACTTTAATGGTGTTGATTTGTAACCAATTCCTTCTGAAATTCAGGATCCAAGGATCATTGACAAGATGCTTGATTCCAGACCAGTTTACCTTTTCCTGTGCTCCCCTCAGCACTGTCATAAGTAGACGGCTGGTATGGGAAAAAATGAAAGCAAATGCTCACCTCAGCTTTTAAAATGGACAGAGTTTTAATGGTGTCAAAGAGAAAAGCCATGTAACATCACCGTCTTGCAGCTTAGGCCTTGATCCAGCAATGCATTTAAGCATGTTAATAGCCCCATACATTTTAGTAAGACTGCTCCTGTGCATAGTATTAACATGCTTCAGTGCTTTGCTGGATGGGGTCTAGTGCATGAACATAAATGAACCCTACAATCAGGCCAGTAGCTATGAAGTGCATAGCTTGTTTCCTCCCTCTCCTCATAACACAATCGGTGCTGTTCCATTCCTTGTGAGCTCACAACAAGAACAGTATGATATGATCCCCACAGTTCTACAGCCCGGGAGAATAACGGTGCTGCAGTTTGGTACATAACAAACATGGGGGAGGAGGGAAAGCTGAACCTGGTGATTGCGGGACTTGGCATGTGCTTCATGATGGGGCCAATCAGTGCAAATCTGTATTAATGATTAGCAAGAGGCAATGCCGCTGAGGACTTAATCCTCTTAAAGGTGAACCAAGAGGCCTGATTATTTCTAAAAAGCCGTTCAGAGTCCCAACCCATTAGCAGAAGTTACATCAATAGCCTTAGAAATGACAGATCCCTGCAGTTTTTGAAAATATTCTTTTAGCCAAGTTCAGGATTCTCTTAACAGCTGGTGGCACAACCATTTAAAAACAGAGAAGCAGGGTCTATAAGCTCTTTGGGACAGGGCCTCTCCTTTTGCTCTGTGAATGTACAGCATCTGCCCCTGTGGGACCCTTGTTCCTGAGTTTGACTGGGACTCATAGGCACTACTTACACATAATAATGTAAGGAAGTGTAGATAGATGGCCTTTTAGCTAAGGCACTGAATGGATTCCAGAGATTTGCATTCAGTTCCTGACTGCCACAGACTTCCTGTGTGACCTCAGGTAAGGAGTTTAATTTATCCGTGCTTCATTCCCCATCAGCGTCCGGGGATACAATTTCCTTTTGTCCACCCCTTCTCTTTGTAGATTGTAAGACCTTTGGGGTGGAGATTAACTGTACCGTGAGTGCCCAGCGCTTAGTACAGAGGGAGCAATCTCAGCTGGGATCTCTGGGCACTTCTGGAATATAAACAGCAGTAACAAAAGGATAACATTTTTTTTTACTTCTCATTTGAGATGCCTTTAGGTTGTAAACTATGTTACTTTAATATGACTTTCATGGTTCCCCATCCATGTCTGTAAATCTACAAAGCTTGTGTTGTTTACAAACGCTTGCAACTGAAATAGCTTGCTTAGAAATCACAGGTGCTGTCCTCACTGTGTACTTCCTTTTAGCCTCTGTGCCACGTTTTCCTGCTGGTTTTAGGACTCCTTTCTTGATCAGACGTGCACACTCCAACAGTTCAATCAGTTTGCTGGAACAGTTCTGTGGCTCTGAGACATAAGGAGCAGCACTCACTGTGATGAGAGAGAGAACTGCTTTTCTTAGATCTTTCAGCACATTGTCAGAGGAGCTGTCAGATTCCCTGCAGTTACTACATCAAGTAAAAAATGCCCCTTGCTCAGCACTTCATAGGGAAAACAATAACCCTTTCAAAGTGGCAGAGACGAAGCCTGAAGAAAGGGTGCTGAAGAGGGCCTGATATCTCATTTACAAATCCATCTGGTTCTCTACCACCCTGTGCCATAATAACATTCATTATCAATATGGTTGGGTACTTGTGGTGTAAGCCTATCAGGGCTTACCAGCTAAGCAGAGTTGGATCAAGGAATCATTTGAATAGGAGCCTATGAAGGATCACTAAGTGGTGCAGGAAATAGAATTACCTCTGCACTACAAAGACTGTACCAGTGTAGCTATGCCAGCATAGCCTCTTTGTGTAGATCACTGGCAGGCATCCTCAAATTCCAGATTCCATCTGTGGCCTGCAGATCCCCTGGCTGTCCCCTTTCCACATGCGCCTCTCAAGCACTAGGGTACAGGAGTCCTGCACTTCCTACTCCACCCCCTCCCAGCACTTTCAGAGCACCATGAATCACCTTATTCATGCCCCATCCCTGCACCTCCTCCTCCCCCCCAGCTGGAATGCTGCAAATCAGCTGTTGGCAGCTGTTCAAGCTCTGGGAGGAGTGGGGATGGAGCGCAAATCAGGCGAGGGAGGGAGTGGGAAGTGCGGGGCTCCGGTGCCCAAGTATATGAGAGGCATGTGGGGGAAGGGGCCATAAAGGGGGTGCATGCGTGGACCGCAAGTGGAATCCCAGTGGGCTGCAGGTTGCCCATCAGTGGAGGGCCACTTGTGGCCCACTCACTAGTCTTGGTTGCCCATCACTGGTGTAGATGCATCCAACACTAATAGAAGGTTTTTTTTCTGGTGGTTTAGGAACACCACTTCCCTATACAATGGTAGCTCCATTTGTCCATTGTCATAGCTGCATCTACACTGCGAGCTAAGTTGGCATAGCTGCATTGGTCAGAGCAGTTTTTGGTGTCTTTCTTAAAGCCCCAGCTACTGGAATCAAGAGACTGGATAAGAATCTCTCCATTTTTTAAATAACTGAACTTCAAGATCTCCTGGTTGTTTAAAAAAAAAAACTTGATAATGTGAAATAAGTGCAGCCTAGAGGCTTAGAAAACAGAAGGCAAATAAATTGAACCCACCTTTTACCATTAAAAAAAACCCTCATACTTTTTAAGACACTCTAAAGCTGGTCAGGAAACCTCTGTTGGAAAAGTTTTCTATTGGAAAACACAGTTCTGTCAAAATCAAAACACTTTGCAAAATTATGTCTGTTTTTTCCAAAATTTCATTTCAAAGGAAAAATAGGAAAAAAGTTCCAACAATGTCAAAATGTCTCACTGTTGACATTTTCAGAATGAAACCTTTCCATTGCTCCTTTCAGCATGACTTTTTATTTGTATTTTTTATTTGTATTCTAAGAAAAAACAAAATCAGGGTGAAATATTTCACCTTTGTTAAAACTGTGACTGATCCAAAATAAATTTCTTATTTATGACCAACTTTCAGAATGTTCAGGTTTGGGTTCAAATAGGAAGAAAAACAATTTAAAAAAAATCTAAAACTTGTCTACAAAATGGGATTTCCTTTCTCTCCCTCCCCCTAGTTCTACCAATATTACGACTTTGTGGGAACCTCACTCATGATTTGAGAATGCTTGAAGTTGGCAGTACTGCCAGTGGCTTGCCAAAGGCGTGTCTATTAAATGTACGGGGAGATAGATGTTCCTGCTCCGTCTTAGCTAATATTATCAGAGAGACCCAAGTTGCCTTTCAATTTGTTAGCGACCATATGCAATGAGCCAGATTAGTGGCTGTGCAGGCCTTGCATTTTTGTGCAAGAGATCAATGAATTTTTAGCCTGATTGACGAAGACATCATAATGCTGTTTAATCACCCCCAAAAGCAATGAACTCTAATTTGTTTGTGAGCGGGTATTTAGCGAGATATGAATACTTTTGAGATTTTTACTTTGAACAGTGTTTTATTAAGTCAAAGGGCTAATATTGTTCCCTTTATTCTCCAAATGTCACCCAATGGTAAGGTTTGGTTCTCTGTTAAGCAAGCCATTTGTTGATGATTGTGCAGGGGTTTTATTGTCCCCAAAACAACAATAGATGCATAAAAATTAAAGATGGAAAAGGCTCATCAAATTTGTCCCCCCCAAGGTACCCAGTGCAAAATTGCTCCCTGCAGCATATTCTACAGTGCTCTGTCCTGTAAAATAACTCAGAAGATGGGCTTTTATCTGTTCCTTTTGCAAATTAATCTGCCCTCCAGAATAAGCCTTACTGCTAAGAAATTTCTCACACTGCTCAGCCTACATGCTGTGAGGATTCATTATTGTGTAGTATAATGAAGCATTACATACGTGCTAAATTGGTATCATCATCTCCTGCCCCACTTCTACAAAGACTGGTATAGGATTGTATTAAAACAAGTTGTGTGAAACGATCTATTCAGACCCATTGGCTACGGAAGGAGCAACATCTAAGTTACAATAATTGGAATTAACACTGGAACTCCCTGTTATGTCCCATACTGCAGCATGTTTCTCGCTGTAGGAACATGCAGTTTGAAAGGTCTGAAGAGCTTTTGGGGGAAGGGAGGGTGCTAAGGAAATGCTATTATTATTCCCTTTTGGTGTTTTACTTGATTTTTTTTCTTATTCTGTCAGCTTTGCAAGACATCTTTGAACTCTTTCTATACCCAGCTTTATTGTCCCAGTGTGATACAGATGTGTTCTGTCTGCAAATAAAAAATAGGCTGTAGTGGTTAGAATTCAAA